ATAGAGTCCTAGTTGGTTCAGTAAATCGCTAGCCAAACAGGTTTTGACAAGAAAAGATAGCACTGTGGGGCACATGAGCAAAACTAGTCATAAAAGCCAGCAGGTGGGTGGGTTATATCTTTGTGGTGGATAGGGACACTGGGAGCTCCTATCCAGAATGAGCGGCTTTCTATACTACCTTTACCATTGGTGACTTTAAAATGAAAGCTCTCCCTCCAAAATACCAATTGTCTCCACGATCAACCTAGAGTCCTGAGCATTGTTCTGATAGCCCAAATGGAAAGAAATCACTCAATCAATCAGAACATAGAGGTCAATCTGGAATCTTCCGATTGGTCAGATTGAAGTCATGTGACCTGTGTCTAGACTACAGGTGGAGATCCGGGTGAAACAGCCTCAGTGCAACACATTAATACTCCATGCTTGTTTCCATTATCTATCAGCTAGGTCCCACCTCCGTCAGGTCACTGCCCTGTGTTCACAGAAGAATTCAAAAAAGCACATCTCACCTTCAGGTGTCTGTTCATGGTAAACACAGACTCTATTCTGAAGGTCAGGTTTGGAGTTTACCCCCTGTTTCAAGTCCATCCAGGATGAATGTTCCTTTCAATCCCTGACCCTGTACTGTGGGAAAAAGCACAGAATTGGTACAATTCTATCTCACATATTTGGGGGTATTTACATTGATGGTATAAAGTACTTGAGGCCAGGCATGGCAGTGCACATGTGTGATCGCAGTACTCAGGAGGCGAGGCAGGTGTGGATCTCTGTGAGTTGGAGAACTGACTGTTCTACATAGAGAGGCTAAGGATAGGCGGGGCATATAATATCCTCTCTTTAAACTCAAAACATAAAAAGTGCTTTCATGAAATTTCCTTGTCTCATTTCCTGAATTCAGCCATTTCACAGCCCTGGCACCACTGATCTGCTAGAGAAAAAATGCTTTTCCAGGGTTGATTCCCACAACTCAAAATTGGTCTCACCCACTAAGCAAGCTGCTAATAGTTCTGTGTACATGGGATGCATGAGGTGATCAGTATACTACAAAGTAACTGATGGCAAAAGTGTGCTGCCATCCTGCTAGACAAATACCATCCAACGACTTCAAAATGCACTAGTGTTTGAGAAAAGCCCAGGGTCTGGTGGTCAGAATAGAATCTGGGTTCCAAGTTCATGAAGAAGATAGCACCTCTCTTTCCACACCTCTAAGGTCTCTCAGTCTGCCATTGCTCTGAAGCAATCAATGGTAAGTTTCCCTCTGTCTTGGAGAAGCTGACATAGGCCAACTCATATGTAATTTTCTCCCAGACAACAAGACCTGGCCTGAGAATCTCATTCTCTCTCAAAACATATACTTACTATACTCAATCTTCCCTTCACATGATGCATGACAGATTAGGGCACTGGATTCCCAGTAGATATCAGTTCCCCTTAACAACTCAGTGAGCTCTTCCCTACCTGAAGGTATCCTGGAAAACAGTTCAGACACTATACCCACCTCTGCTTCACACTTAACCTATGGCCCTTATCATGGGCTCCACCATAATCAAAGACTTCGTGAAAGCATGACCCCTTCGGTCATCATTGGTCATAGAGAAGTCATGGCTGAGGGACTTGTGAAGGTACATCTCAGCATGGAGCTTGGCAAGGCCTACTTACCTCTCCACTTTGGAGAATAACAATGGTAATGTATGGTCAAAAGTAAGTTAAAAATACCTCCGTGAGATGGGAAAATGATGTCAAAATCTTGGATCAGGTGATCAGAAGGAACATGAGAATTCTGGATGAAGAGGGCTTGAGAACAGAGACAAAGATGTCTTCAGGTCATTCAGACAGGACATGAGGAGACAATACTGCATGACAGAGCCAAACATCTCTATTGCCACACTCTTCAACAGTAGCCCAGGAGAGTAACCCCTTCCTAAAGGAGCTTCACACTTCTACATATTGACATGAGCCATAAATTTGAGTACAGGGAATACCTCTTCATGCAGAGCCCAGTGGGAACTCTTCTGCAAGATACTTTTGTTCCTGACTTTACTTATTGAAAACCCCTCCCGAACAAACTTCCCTTTTTCCTGACTCTTTTGAGGTTAGATCCTCAGGACAGACTTTTTCACCATTTTTACAGGTCCTCTCATTTCCTCTTTATCCTCTCCAATTCGCTTCTCCCTGTTCTTCCCCATAACCTCCCTTATCCCATTTCTCACTGGTTTTGCACTACCTGAATCTTTTCCTAAACACAGTCAGAAAGCAATTTGGCGGGACTTGAGTGATCAAAGAGGATTGCTGCCCCAGAGCTGAATATATTCTGTCCTGTTCACAGAAGCAACCCTACTTGATGCATGGAAGCCTGGTTCTTCAAGACCATAAAAACAGGGAAGTAGATCTTAACTAGCTTCAAGCTACATGTGACTGTTCAGGGATGAACAACAACATGAGAGGGTGGCAGTGGCAGGAACTTTTGGGAATGTGGTAGCTGAGGCTGAATTGTTACAGGATGGATACTAAGTCCTGTTGCCCTTACATCTTGCTGCACAAGACACAGATTTGTGACCAAATTCCTTCCTATTTTACAGCAAGAAGCTGTGTTAAGTGGGACATTTCATTTCCTCCAACTAAACACACAAAGAATAATGGAAGCACCTCAATTAGTGACTGGCAGACAGGATTACTCAGAACAGAGGAAGATGGGACTCCACTTGCCAAGACCTGGCATTTACTCCAACAACATCCTAGCTCAATGGGTAATAACAAGATGACATTTCCAAGGCAGCATCCTTTTGTGTACCTTACATGCTAGGATGACCAGAGCAGTTCCTGTAAACCTAATTGCTGGCTGTTCCTATTCTCAGTCCCATTATGGACTTCACGGGACCCTTGGTCCTTCACTAGCTTGTACAGAAACCCTGTCAGAGATCAATACATTAATCTCTTTCATAGCAGTTGTTGACAGGAAGTCCCCACGACAGACTGTATTCATTACACTGCCCCACATTTCCCTTTTTTCCTACTTCAATCCTGTTTCCCAATTAGGAACCATGTCCTTCCCCCAGAGGACTTACACAGGTCTAGCTGTACATTCCAAAACAGTCACAGAATAAGTTGGAATGGCTAAAGTGAACAGGATGATGAGCAGCCTAGACTGGTACAGAAGGCACTCCTGGATGTACAAGCAGCCATTTGCCATGCCGTCTGTAGGTCCTAAAAGGAAAAAGCTAGGGAGATAGGGTCATTGGGTAAACGTGCCTAATGAGCACGTCTGGGTACAACAACAACTGCTGGTGCTGGAGGAAGCTGAAGGAGAATCAAACATGCACATCACACAATAGCACGAGGATGGATGCAGGAGCCTGGTGACTTGGATAGCTCGGTGTTGACATTCTGCAGATCTGTCCATCCATCCATCCTGGTTCCCTTCTGAGCAGTCACTCCTCACCAGAGTTGGTGTTCTACTAGGCCATCTCGTTTTCCACACTTCAAAGCAGAAGGAAACATGAAAGCATCTCCATTAGCAACTTGGACAGAACAAGGTTTGGTACCAATGTTCCACTATTCTGAACCTTTGCCCACATTAGCCAAAATCACACCCTTCCTTCCCTTCTGGCACTTCCCATGCTATGCTATCTCATTTTCCAGGCAATTACATGAAAAGAAAGCTATGGCATATTGCGTCTAATGTACCAGACATCTTAAATTCTGTGCCCTCTCAGTGGATACAACTGTAAAATAATTTCTTGAAAATACAATGGAACAATTCATCTGGGTGACTAAACCTACTGCAGTGCACGTAAAACTCCATGGTCCCTCCTTCCTCTGAAGCCCCAGAAACAAGGGGTCGAGGCTCACCTGGGGGTGGGCAGGCAGCAGCAGCAGCAGCACAGCACCCTCAGTGCATTGGAAATGTGCTTCCTCATCAGTTTCCAGCCCCTGAATGGCCTGGTGCCAGATCTTGCGTTTGCCACCTGGGACGGGTCACTCTGAATGTCAGACCCCATGGATGGCTCCTCTATGGAGAAGCCCATGTTCTCAAACCCAGTGGCTGTTTCATCCAGGGATGGTTCAGGAGAAGAGACACTGACAGGAAGAATGTCAGCTGAGTTCCTGTTGACTACAATGTCCCTTGTTGCAGTATTGGTGATATCAGCCATTGAACTATCTCTTTCTGGGACTTTAATATCAGGACAGGGCATCAGCTCCAGGCAGGGGTGTCTCCTGACCATTGGGGAGCTTCTGCATCCCTTGCCTGTTCCTTCCACATGGGCTTTGTGAAAATGATTCTCCACAGCAGGAAGAGCTGGTTCACTAGCTCTCCTCAAGGGCCGAGGGAGGCTGAGAAGACCTGAAGAGACCATGTTTATCCGGGACTTATCTTGTAGATGGCTATGCCCACAGCTCAGTTTGAATTTGAGGATATTTATGGTTGCTGTTACATTATTTTGTTGCCTGTGCTTTAGGGATGATACAATCTCTTTACACGTATAGCCCATGCTGCACATAGTCTCCACGACCCTGGGAAGGATTTCTTTAGTGTCGGGTGGTACGTGTTCTGGAATGTGGCCCAGCCATGGTCGTTCCACAAGCTGACGTATTGTTATTCTGTACCCGGTGGGGACCATGAGTAAACGTGCCAGGATGATGTGGCACGATTTTGATAGGTGGTGGGGAATGGGACACATTGTGGTGGTGATGAGCCGGTGCATACCATCAGGGGTGATTTCGACATATGGGAAGTGCCCTGTTACCAGGACGTAGAGAACGACACCCAGGCTCCACATGTCACCTGCCATTCCATCATAGGGTTTCCTTGCCAAGATCTCTGGGGCCCAATAGAGCATGGAATCACAGATCTCCTCCAACGTCTGCCCCTCGGTGACTTTAGTTGCCATACCAAAGTCACACAGCTTGGCGTTTCCTGCTGCGTCCAGTAAGATGTTTTCTAATTTTATATCACGGTGCACGATGTGTCTTTGGTGGAGGAAGTACACTGCTGACACGACCTGCTGGAAAAGCGGTCTAGCCTCCTCCTCCTCTAGACAGCCCGCTGCCCTGACGCAGCTCTCCAGATCTATGCCTGCCACATATTCCATGATCATGTAAGTGGTCGTCAGTGTGTCGATCATGTGAAAAAATCGAACGATGTTCCTGTGTTCTACAGACTGAAGGATGTTTACTTCACTGCTGATGTCAGCCACACTGTTGATGCTTTTCTCCAGGACCTTGACAGCCACTCGTGTATGTGTGGGAAGGTGGCAGGCCAGCTTCACCTCCCCAAATGAACCAGAACCTAAAGATAGTAACATCTTGAAATCCTTTTCAAGAATGTCCTCTTCCATGTGGCTGGCCATGGTGTTATGCTCAATTCCAACCACTTTATCTCCTCAGAAATTTCAGAGGCACACAGTGCTAAAAAAATAATAATATTGTAGGTTTATGGGGAATGTTTATAGTTTTGAATTCTCTTAATGAAATGTGTGATATCCTACTGATGACCTCCAGTGATATAAAAATACTTGAAGAACCCAAACCCACAGCAGTAGATGGGGATCAAAGAAGGTTCTGTTGGAGTCAGTAAAGTGGGAGTGCAAAGCACATGCTGAGATCCCTGAGACAATGAGCTAGTTCTTTTCATGGATGTGCCACAATGCAAACTGCTCAATCAAGCTCATCAACGCAGGTCAGACACAGATTACATTATACAACTATTGATGGTGTAACTGATAGAACTACAGTCCTGAGGGCATTTCCGGAATGTTACAGTGCTGAGATACCGGTACATTAGAAAATGTGGTCTGAATTCCCACTCAGGTATAAATATTGAATTAAGGTAAAATGAAAGCATTTAAACACATGAGCAAAAACTAACAATTTTGGACTTGCAATAAGCAGTGCTCCATTCATGGCAGAACCCAAATATCATGGATTCTGTGGATCGTTCAGTACTTTCTAGAAATAGGAGGACCAGTGATAGATAATAATTGAAGATAGAGGAAGCAAAGGAACACACCCAAACTCTTCCCTGTGCCACTCTTACTCTGCTGATCCCACAAACAAATAAGTTCAATGAATACAGCAAGTTAACTTCCTTTACTTAGTGAATACACATGAGAAAAATCTTCGATGAGAGTCTTGATAATACACATCCATTTCAGCAACAAACTCAATAGCCTTTTTTTTTCACAGGGCAAACAGACTCACACAGCAGTTTAAGAAGAATATATAGCAAGCAAATAGAACAACAGCAGAGCATAGAAGGAGACTGTGGGGAAGAGTCCACATTCAATACAGTGACTAGAGCACTGTTGTGTTGTAGGAAAGAGCTAACACTAGGTACAGTTTTTCCTGAAACAAAGCACGCGAACAGCATCTGCTTCTGGAGGAAAGAGGGTGTCTGTGCATTGATACAAGTCATAACATCAGTTCAAACAATGGGGGGAGTATGTAAATTTTACAGTGAAGTAGCATCAATGTACACTACAGAACTGTATAAAATTTATAAGGTAATTACTTATTGTTAATATACAAAATTTATGTATATATATATTTATGTTGAGGAAATATAATACACATATTAAATAATTGTTATTATTAAAATAATATTGATATGTATTTTGTTATAATATATAATAATCATTGGTATAATAAATAGAATTATACTACACATAGTACATATTATATGTACTGTACAATTATTATGTTAAATACTGAAAAACTTTATAAGAGAAAAGAAATGGCAGAGAAATTAAATAATGAATTTTTGATATTAAATTTGGGATCAGATCAAAGGCAAAATTTAAAAATAATCTTATTACATATTCTTTTGCTGTGTTCAGGTGCTATCTGATGTTTTCTGAAGGGAAACAGAGAAGCAGTAGATCTGAGGGACACAGGAGCATTGGAGGGAGGGGAAGCTGCAGCCAGGATGTACTTATGAAAGAAGAATAAATATAAATGAAAAACATGAATATAAATATGAAACCGCAAACCTAAATCCCAGGATTCATGAACAACAAACTAGACAGCAACAGCTAATGGCAATGTTCCACAAGTCATTCAGTACTTCTGAAACCAAGGGAAGGAACAGTTCAAGTTCTGTTCGTAAAGGAAACATTACCCTAATTTTCAAACCATACGAGACATTTTAAAAGATCTTATTTTCAGGCAATATCCTTGACTGAAAGGTTGGAAAATCTCAGTGAGAATCATAGACAGGTCACATCAAATTCAACGCCAAATTAAGACCATAACTCATGATCAAGGTATCTTTAACCAGGAATAAATCATTCATTAATGTGAACAAATTGTCAAAGCATAGCATGTACACATCACTGAGGTAAGTCCTATATATAGAAATCAGTGAAAGGCAATGCCTTCTTCAGGAAAAAGCTTGGAACTAGAAAAGCGTTACTACACACATGCAGTTCCACAAACACAGGTGTCACAGTTTCTTTCCCAAAGGTCATGAGCAGGCAGGGGGATAAATAACCTTTATATAGTGGAAAGTATTTGTCAAATTCAGTGTTGGTGGGAAAGGAAATATAGCAGATGGATATGATCAAATGAAAGGAAAGCAATATATCAAAGTTATGATCAAATTTCTCATTCTATACAATTAATGAATACCGATAAATTTCTAAAATACACAAGATCACTGGTATGAAATGAGAAAAAGTTTGACTGAAACCCAAAGCAATTATGTAAATAAAAGTGTAAAAAGATGTCAAACGCCAAAGCCAAAAACACACTAAAAATTGGGAAATACAGTCACTATGTCCAGATCCAACAGGAGGGGAAAAGGCTAAGTATATGGCAAACAACTGAGACCAACTGATCTCCCAAGAACCAACTGATGCTCTGAAGTACAGACAAAGCCCAGTCTCAGGCAATGCAATTTTATTGGCTAGGGACTAGCACACCTCACAAGGACTCCCTGTGATGTCACATGCGATGGACCAATCAAAGGTCAAAACAAAGCCATGGTGATTTTTAATTTTTTTTTTTTCAGTTTACAAATTCCCCCCTAGGATACATGTTCTTAGTAAAGAGAGCTGCTTTCCATCCACACCCCACCCCTGCTCCTTTCCCAAATGTCAAAATAGATTCATTGCTGTCACACAATCACACATTGATCATACCTCTCCCATCTACACCCTGATTATAATCAATGAGCTCTTCTAGTGGCCTCAAGTCCAGATCCCTTCCTCTATCCTGCATACAGGTCTCATGTTAAGCAAGCCTCTTTCTTGGTGTTATACCATCTCCCTCTCACAAACCTTGAGTTGTGGACAAATACTCTGATGGGATTAAACTCCTTCAGACAACCACAGAGTGTCCATTAACATTAACAACATTTTTTCTGAAAGGAGGATTGATTGCTAGCATCACTATCCCTCTGGTAACTCTGCCCCATACCTCCATCACCTGATAAAAGAGAAAATATATCCTACAAGGGGAAATAATAAATGAGAGTAAAACTTAATGTATATGAAACAAAACTTAACAAAACACTAAAAATACTGAGTATCAAGAAAAACTTTTACAGTCACCGAGACAATCTGCTGATGAATTCTTTACCTGACCATGTAACAGCAACATTCTCCAAATATTTCACTAGCCTAACATGTGAAGGAAGGACCGTTTTCAACACGTTCATGGATATGCATTGCCCTTGTTCTCAGACCAACTGAATAAAACTTAAAAGGGGCCTGGTGTAAGGCAATGGCTTGACTAAGAAGTTAGAAAATAACAGATAAACCTCCAGGAGAGATAGCTTACACCATATTCACACCACATTCACAGTATACATCATGATGCCTACACTGAACACAAATTGATACACATCAAAGCATAATGTAACATTACTCAAGTCTCATGATCAGTCATCCAAGGTATGATACGCTACGTTTATGATAAAATCATGAAACTGGAGATAGTGTTACTTTCAAAATTCCAGTTCCACAAACAACAATGTCCCATTTTTGTTCCTGGAGGGTCATGAACAAGCAGTGGGGAGAACCTTTCTTCCTTTGCGTTTTCTCCTCACATTCAATGGATGGGAAAGTGAAAAAGATTAGGAAAATGGCATTGAAATGCAGTATAGGCAGATATGGGAGTCAGATCAAATTCTTCATCCTATACAGATACTATTGTAGCATTTCATATATAAATACACAATAACAATCACAAAACTGAAGACAAAAAGAGCTGAAAAATGTAAATTGGGTGAAATGAAAAAAAAAAACTTACAGGCAGAAATCAAAACCTAAACCTGTGATGTAAATAAAGGAATATATTGACCAGTGACAAAAGGCCAAGCTGAAACCCTGGGAAACTCACCCACTATGTCACGATCCACAGGTTTGGAAAGTCAAAATGAGAAAAGAAACAGCTGAGTCCAACTGCTCACTCCACCTTGACCAACTGCTTCTCTGAAGCACAATGACAAATGACATTCCAGGGTGGTGGTCTTTCATTGGACGATATGTATCTTACCTCACATGGAATCCAAGTGATGTCACATGCAACGGTCCAATCACATCTTGGCAACGCACAGCGATTTTTTGAAATTTTGTAATCTTACATACTTGTCTCCAGCCATTCTACATCTAACTTTTCTAATGGATGATATTTAATACTTGTGAACGGTCTACTTGCAGGAGGTAGATTTACTTAACCTCAGAGTTAAGAAAACTTAAGTCAGTGGGAACACTAATGGCATGGACATCAGCAAAATTGTTCAGTAGATTATATGGCATTGTAATCTCAATATTCTTCTGACTTGTCCCTGTCCTCTCCAATTACTATTTCTGCAATCATAAGCATGTTTCTCTAGTTAGGCATGGTCAAGTTACATTATAGGTGTCATGATGAACACAATCAATCAGTGGTTCTCTCTCTGCCCATAGCCCCCTCTCATTTAATTGATGCACACATATGTAGCAGCTCCCTGAATCAAATCCCTACATTTTCTATGCTCCAGGAAGGCACTGTCTTCCAAACACTGCCCATGTTCTCCTTTCAGGAATAGTGAGGAGAGGTTCTCAGTTTGTGCCTCATCTCTTACTGTAGCTATACTCTCCCATCATGACAGTCCTTAGTGCTCCTATGTAATGTCCTCTAAATTCGCTGTATCACCACAGATTAGACACAGGCACTGTCTTCCCTAATTTCCTAATAACCTGTAAGGTCAGACTGTGTGTAACCTATTTGTTTGTCTTTCAGGGCAGAGAAAGAAAGTCTTCTACAGAGGATGAATAAGATACTATCCACCTGTATGAAAGAGATTCACTTAGATCTCATTGGTAAAGGCATTTGGGGGTTTATTCAAGAGTTGTATACCTGGATCTTCAGGTAGTTTGGTTTTAATCATTCTGAGGACATTCCACGATGGTTTTATGGTA